ACATTACTTTATGTAAAGTTTAAGGGAAGAGAGGAGAAGAAATGTGAGTAGAGACATTACTTTCTGTAAGGTTTAAGGGAAGAGAGGAGAAGAAATGTGAGTAGAGACATTACTTTCTGTAAGGTTTAAGGGAAGAGAGAAGAAGAAATGTAAGTAGAGACATTACTTTCTGTAAGGTTTAAGGGAAGAGAGGAGAAGAAATGTGAGTAGAGACATTACTTTATGTAAGGTTTAAGGGAAAAAAGAGAGAAGAAGAAATGTAAGTAGAGACATTACTTTCTGTAAGGTTTAAGGGAAGAGAGAGAGAGAAGAAATGTGAGTAGAGACATTACTTTCTGTAAGGTTTAAGGGAAGAGAGAGAGAGAGAGAAGAAAAAGATGAGCCGAGGTTCCTTTTTTTACTAAGTAAAGGAAAAGTCAGAAGAAAAATGTCTTGATAATGGGGGATGAATGACTAAAACTGAAATGATAATAAAATACATTTTTTTTGTGATGAAATATTACTTAAACTTATGTGTAAGAAATCACATACATTAAAAGTAAACTTCCTTCGAAAACGGCGGACAATCATCAGTTATCCCGGGCGTAGCAAGCAAGCCCATAATAATACATCAAATGATGAGGGTCCAGTCTACATCAGGTATTATTATCGAGGGAAAAGTAAAGACCCCGTTATTGCTGATGGCATTCGCGAGCCGACGCGTCTCGTGCCACGTGACTTTGATTGCGTATCGGTCTGTGTGAATGTGTGATTTTTTTTCGCTAGCCGTGTTGTTTACGGCTATTCAAGACACAAATTATGGGTTGATCCTTTATTAACTTATGATGTACGTGAACTCTTAAAATTCTCAACCTTGATTTGTGCGTGTTTAAAGCCTACTAAAGTATTTCTGTTTGTTTAATGTCGCACAAAACCACTCTAGGGCTACTTGTCCACACAACCCATCGCCAACTCGGGGGCTACTCTTTACCAGCTTAGCGGTTAGTCTCACAGCTTACAATTCTAAAATTCGAGTTTCGATACCCGCGATAGGAAGGGCACAATCAGCTCATTGTGTAGGTTTGTGCTTAATAAAAAAAAACTTTACCAGCGAAAAGTGAGATCGACTGTCACATTATAACGCCACTACGGCTAAAAGGAAATAGGATTCTAACCTCAGAGTGCGAGTCAAGCGTCCTGACCACTAGGCCATGCCTCTACTAAAGTTTTTATTGTTTTTATTTGTAATTAAGCACAAAGCTACACAATGGGCTATCTGTGCTCTGCCCACCACGGGTATCGAAACCCGGATTCTAGCGTTGTAAGTCCGCAGACATACCGCTGTGCCACTGGGGGGCCTTTACTAAAGTGATAAAAAAATTAAGAAATTATCCAACAGTCCCATTCTCCAATTCTTAAGAATCTAAGAACCGGACATTACCCCCCCCCAAAAAAAAAATTGTAATATGGGAAGACAGAAAGTTAGGGTTGGTAAAACAATGTTGACTGTTATGTTTTTATAGCTATAATTGTAATATGGGAAAACAGAAGGGTAGGATCGATAAAACAATGTTGACTATTATAGATCTAAATAACTTAAGACAGTTTCTAAATAATTACTTTCAGGGGGACATATCCCCGATTTCCTTGAAAGCCATGAAATAGATTTTTTTTTGTGTTTGGAAAATCGACTCAATTTCTAGATTATCTAAGATGCTTAAACTTGGACGAACTAAATATGTTTTAAACATATCAGAGTAAATCTAGTATATATCTTGTCACTAGAGGTATTAATTAAATCAAGTCTTCACAGGATATGTTTCGTCACAAGGCGGTGTATAAGACGGTCACTCCACAGAAATAAAAGCTAGAAAGTAAATAGATATAAATATTAAAAAGGTAAGTAACTTCTATAATGTATTTGGTTAGAAATATTGGTTGGTGAGGAATTCTAGGGTTAAGTAAAAAAGTTTGGGGAGGAGGGCAAGTGTCGAACCCACTTGGTAAGCCCCTCTTCATGAAAAATATAACAGAGTAGCAAGTGTCGAACCCACTTGGTAAGCCCCTCTTTTTTCTTACGCACATACTGTATATCAGAAAAGAAAATGTTACCGTTAGTTGTGACGACAGCTAAAATCGTACGACCTTAGACAACTTTGCATAACAAAGAAATTTTTTATCTCCCAGATCCAACAAACTGGAGATAGTTAGCCATCATCTCCAACTTCCGGTTTTCACGTATAATCGTATCATCTTCATGGTATTAGTATTGTCGCCACAAGCTACCAGTTATAATATAATAGATCCAACAAACTGGAGATAGTTAGCCATCATACTCTTCATGGTATTAGTATTGTCGCCACAAGCCACCAGTTATAATATAATAGATCCAACAAACTGGAGATAGTTAGCCATCATACTCTTCATGGTATTAGTATTGTCGCCACAAGCCACCAGTTATAATATAATAGATCCAACAAACTGGAGATAGCTAGCCATCATACTCTTCATGGTATTAGTATTGTCGCCACAAGCCACCAGTTATAATATAATAGATC